TCGGAATTTATCTACAAAAACGCCCAACTGTGAGAATCAAAGATAGGACATGTTTTAAAGTTCTAGATTACGTGATAACAGGACATTATCTTACAGTAACAGTACGGACAACGCCACCACTGGCACCGTCTCGGGCAATGGCAAGAGAAACGGCCTTAACCACCAATTGCTGCAAATGATAGTATATAAATTAGAAAAGGGAAAACAAAACATCCTTGTCAAATTTCAAAAACTATAGCTTCTTGCATCGAATAACCAACAAATAAACAGAAAAGGAAGCTCATCCTAATGGTTCTACCACGCTCGAAACTGAATTCTACCAGCTGATTTACTTTAGCATAGTATGTCAGCTTAGAATTGAATCCTCTGCCATAGAGATTGCACTTAGCAAACTCCAGCTTAATTGATGCATCCTCTAATGGTGCTTAGAAAAGAAGCATTTCACTTAAAAGAATCCCAAATTTACTATCGGTAACCACGATAAAGTACGCTTCTCACAAATAAACATGGAATGAAGATCCGAGAAACACTCTTAAGAAGTGATCGGAGCTCAAAAGGAAGTATATATGTGTGTGTGCACGCGCGTGTGTGTGCGCACGCGTGTGTATGTATGTATGTATGTTGAGCAGCAAGCTAAATCCATATAATAATGCAGAACCGAAACTCGCAAATAGGAGCAGTGCAGATACCTCAGCTTCGTCTCTGGTCATTCCTTCTTTCCAGGCTTGATCAAAAAATCCATACAAGTAACTGGAACCAGATCCTGTAAAATAATAAAAGGAACCAGGTAACGGACATACTCAATCATACAAGGATCACAAAGCAGAGGATCCTATCATAAAGCTTTAGTAGGGAAAAAAAAAAAGGAGTAAGTAAACGTGTGGATACCAGTGGAAAACTCCAAACATCACTATTTTTTTTATAATCGATCGAGCACAAAAGGTTTTACCTCCAATGGCAAATGGCTGCTCTATTATTGTTCCACCAAGAGGAATACCATAGATTCGACCACCTTCATACTTGTCCCATCCACCAACAATAAGGCCAGTTTGCAACATATCCTGCCCCATTTAACCAAATGGCATTGATATTAAAGCATGTATTTAGTTTGGATAAAGAACAAGAATATAGCTTCACTTAAACATAGCAAATAGCACTCTCGTGAGCATTTAAACCCAAAAGGATTTTCTTTTCATTCTTTCCCCATGTGATATGAATTCAACTGCTGACCCTTTGCATGTACTCGAAGGACCAATCTTGGTTGGAATCAATCCATTAAGTTAGCTTTCTCTGTGAATGTTTGCAAGGATTTTAGAAGAACCTCTAGCTTTGCAAATTCCAGCATTGTAAGCGCTAGACGCTTATCACTATGTTGAGTTTTTACATAGCCCATAATAATCCTTAACACAACACAGAATATTTTTATGAGAAGCTCCATATCATTTTCAACAAAACTTCAAGGTTGCGTTCACGTTTCTGCAGTCTCACAAATCATACGTTCATTATTGTTAGTGAATTTGTTTATATTTTAACTAATTCATTTTCTTTCCTCTCTTTCTCATTTTATTTTATCATGCATGTTTGCAACCTTAAAATGTTCATTACAGACTTGTGTCGTGTGATTAGTCTATTTCCATGATTTTGGCCAATTGGAGAGTTCTTTTCTGTGCTTCAAAGAATTGTTATTGTTTCTTAACCAAAATTGCTACACATGCAATAATTCTGAACAAACTAATAAGAGTTCCTACCTTGTTGTTATATGCTAATAGCCTAACAAGGTTTGCAGCCACTTTAACAGTCGCAGGCTGGCCAAGCTGTATCCTGTACATCAAAGCTAATATACAATCAGCAAGATAAATTCAAGAGGCCTCCTTATTTATATCAAAGAAATTAATATTACGAAAAACTAAAGCCAGCAATTCGAAATGAGTTACAATCATCTTAAGGTTGACTTATCAGCAAAGGGAAAATAATGAAACAGAGATAGTAAAAGCAATTTAACAACAAGTTTTACAATTACCAATAACAACATATCTTCGATCACGTATCATTTGAAAGAAAGAAAGAAAGGGAAAAAAAAAAGGATGAGGATGGATAAACAGGTACAATTACCCAGAGAAGTTCCAAAAAAGACCATATTTAATGAATCCCAAATTACACACTCCCACCAGATCAAGTATATCTAGGGCTACAACATTAATCACCAGAACATTTTCCTCAACAAGCTAGTTAACATAGTTGCTAGTCATTGTAACAAGTACAGGAAGAATCAATCTATCGCCCTCCTCCCTCCAACACGTTCATCGTTGATTTTAGGGCCAAATTATTTTTATAACACAAATAAAATATAGAATTTTCAACTCTTTCATGCAGTTTTGAAAGCTATTAAGAAAAAACCACAAAAAGAAATGCAGTTGCTAATATATCCATCACAAACATCCAAGCAATAAAAGAAAATTTCTTACATCGAGCAAAATAACAATTAAACGACAAATTCAATGCAAATTACTATTGTCAATAACTAAACCACTCACGTATGCTGATGAAGGAAATGGCGCACATAATCAGAGACAATTTGAGAATCTGCAGCCTGCAAGTGACATAAAATAAATTATTTACGAAACACGAGCAAACACTCAAAAACTGAGAGATTTAGACATTCTAATGATAGAACACGAGGTTGAAAGAAAAAACTAGAGACTAGCAGAGCAAAAACTAATTAAGGACAGTTTGATATGGGAAATAATAGAAATGGAAATACCGAGCCAGACCGACAAACATAGACGTTGTCAGTAAGTTTCGTAATCTTGTCCGATGCACGATTGGCCACATAGACACCTATCACACGAACAATAAAAAAATGTTAATATTCATGCAGCGCATAAAGAATGCACATAAAGAAAAGGTGGATACAAACAAACCTACGAAGATCCATTTTTCCCTTTAATATGTGATTTTGTTATTCAAGATTGCTTGGGAGTTGAGTTTAGAAACTCTTTTCTGTTTTTTCCTTTTCAAAAACTAATGTTAACATAATGTGGTAGCGGTTGTTTACAAGTTACTTTTTCCTCCAGTTCATAATTTTTTGCAGCATGTAGCTCGTTTGTTGCCTCCACTACATATCATAATTTTTCTACACTCTTTACTGAAGCAGACACTTAGTGTTTAGTAAAGCTCGTAGCTCGTGAATTTAAACAGCTACGCTTGAAAAGTCCCGCATAAATTTCAATTATGCAATGTCTAAAAAAATGGAGATGATTTATATAAAGAGGATCTCACCAAGAACAGAATCCACACAACTACTACTGCTAGATGCCAATTAGGGGGGAAAACTACAATTGAAATGAGCTCTTTCAATCATTACACCAACTCGTAAAAACTTAAAACGACCAAGTTAAGCTTGATTCCAAACGTGATTCGATTCCAAGGTCGAACGACCAGAAAATCCAGAATCAGCAAACTCTTACTACTTTTCCTCCACTTTCATTTGACCACTTCGGACATTTGAAGATAGTATTTGTATTTAAAAAAAAAAAAAAAAGGTCATTATACTAAGAAATTACTGGCAGAAAGTGAATACAATAACTTTACCGGTGCTGGTACGAGAATCGGCGCCAAGGACAACACCGCCGTTGTAAGTGACGCCGATGATGGTAGTACCCATGGAGTGAGGAGCATTGAGATCCATGTTAAGATCCATGGCTGTGAGAAGATGATCCAAAGAAACCAGATCAATATTCAGAAACGAGCGCGAAAGAGGAGGGATTGCCGGAGAATAGAACTGGATTTTGATGTTGGGGGGATTTTGTTCTTCGACCTTACTTCTCCCTCAAGTTGTTTTTTTTTTTTCTTTTTCTTTTTTTTTTTCATTTTTCCCTCGCATCTTTGCTCGTTTTGTTTTGGGCCTGAACCAAAGCCCAAACAAGCTAACAAATTGGGCTTGAATCAAAGCCCAAATTCTATTAATTGGGTATATATTAGTTTTGGTTTGGGCTTTATGGCAGCCCATTGGGATATACCTGGGTTGATTGCCTAAAATGAGACAAATAAACGGGTATCAAAGTTATTTATATATATATATATATATATATATATATATATTTTAAAAACTCATAAAACTTGAGAATCTAGTACAAACTAATTCTAACTAGAAATAAATTTAACCTGAGTATACTACTCTATATAACCTCCCTCAAAACCAAAACTATTGTAAGAGCTTGATTGTGATGTCTCACATTGGTTGGAGATGAGAACAAACCATCATTTATGAGTGTGTGGAAATCTTCCCCTAACCATTTATAGCCATTTATAAGGGTGTGGAAACCTTCTCCTAGCCATTAGCCATTTATAAGGGTGTGAAACATTCTCGCGTTTTAAAGCATTGAGGGGAACCTGAAAGGGAAAACCCAAAGAGGACAATATACGCTAGCAGTGGATCTGAGTCGTTACTAATGGTATCAGAGCCAGAGACGATGTGTCAGCCTTCTCGCTAGGCCCCAAAGGGGTGGATTTGAGGGCAATCCCACATCAATTAGAGGAAGGAAAGAATGCCAGCGAGGAGACTCTAAAAGGGGGCGAATTGTAGTGTCCCACATTGGCTAGGGAGGAGAATAGACCATCATTTATAAGGGCATGGAAACCTTCCCTTAGCCGACGCGGGGGTGGAAACCTTCCCTCAGCCGACGCGTTTTGTAAAGTCTTGAGGGGAAGCCCAAAAGGGAAAGTCCAAAGAGGACAATATCTACTAGCGGTAGATCTGGGTCGTTACATTGATTATTCTTTAACGACATGTAAAATCTTGTAGAAGATTATATTACATATGGAAGGTTGAGTGACCATTTATAAAAGTGAATGTTGAATCAAATGTTTTAATAATGAAGCAAGTCTTTTCCACAGCCCTTCCAAACTTATAAACATGTTGCCATTCAACCCAACAACATGAATTCAACCTAATGCCCTAAGTAATTCCAAATGGTGAAGAACTTCCATTAATGGAGGACGTGAAAAGTGAAAAGAACTTCCAACAACTTTCTATTGGGTCAGATCAGAAACATGAATCCAATAACAACATCCCCAAAATTTCACTAATCAACCTAATGGGAAAAGAACAGTGGCAATCATCAATCCACCAGATTGCTTGTTTTCTTAGCTCTTGAGTTACCATGGCTTTCACCTTTCATCATACCAATCTTTCCATTTTCTTCGTAGGAATCCGTCGCCACCGCAGCGTCGGCGAGCGGATGCACCTGAACACCGGAGATGAAGGACAAAAAAGGCAGGTGAGTTGTCGGTCTGACCGGCTGCTTCTTCTTCCCCTTTCTAACCTTCTTCCCAAGGATATTCCTCACCTCGTTCGCTAGCTCGATCACCATATCGTCTTCGTGACCTGATCGGAGATGTGTATAGTTAATATCAACTCAAATTTAGTTCATACAATCACATCAGAGTTCAATTTTGGACGAAGAGCTAGACGGTTACCGATTTCAAACAAGGCATTCTCCAATCGGAATAGATAGTCTCTGTTGTTCCCACATGGACCAGATGCAGTTGCAATTTGGCTGAAAAGTTAGTAAATGAAAGATTTAGAATGGTAACGGGCCAAGATCCACCGCTAGCAGATATTGTCCTCTTTGAGCTTTTCCTTTCGAGCTTCCCCTCAAAGCTATAAAACGGTCTGCTAGGGGACCCCTTATAAAGGGTGTTTTGTTCTCCTCCCCAACCAATATCGGACATCACAATCCACCCCCTTCGGGGCCCAGCGTCCTCGCTGGCACTCTTTCCTTCCTCTAATCGATGTGGGACCACCATCAAATCCACCCCCCTTCGAGGCCCAGCATCCTTACTGACACACCGTCTCGTGTCTAACCCCCTTTGAGGAATTGCGAGAAAGCTGGCACATCGTCCGGTGACTGGGTTTGATACCATTTGTAACAGCCCAGATCCACCGCTAGCAGATATTATTCTCTTTGGGCTTTCCCTTTCGGGCTTCGCCTCGAGAATTTAAAACGCGTCTGCCAGGGAAGATTTCCACACCCTTATAAATGGTGTTTTGTGATTTCCACACCCTTATAAATGGTGTTTTGTTCTCCTCCCCAATAAACGTGGGACATCACAGTAATGAACCCATTTCAGGGATGCAATAAGAACATTGAAAGCCAAATGGTAAGCCTGACATTACCTAGCCATTTCCTCCAAGGGAGCAGGTCCTAGATAGTATTTGTTTAGCAATTTATCAAGTGTCGATGTAAAACTGCGTTCATGAATGCAAAACTTAATCAGATCAAGAACAGAGATGCTCTTTTTCAACTTATCCCAATTAAGATTTAGAACAAATCAGATGTTTAAGAAGAAAAAATCCATCCAGAAGCTTACACTAAAACTCCTGTCAATGTTGGTTCTATGGAGTCTTTATCCTGAATCAACAATGGAAATGGAATCAAAATAAGAAACCAAATTGGAAATGATGAACAGAAACACACCTAATAACGAAGCAAATCCTTACCTTGTAAAAGTCTACAATGGTCTTTCCGTCATACTCGCACTCTCTTCTCTCCAGGGACTACATTGCGGACCAAACAAGAACCGTAGGAAATGTTAGAAACCACGACTCGACTTTCCATAATGATATGATATGATATTGTCCACTTTGAGAATAAGCTCTCATGTGGGCTTTCTCAAAAGCCTCGTTCCAACCGAGATGTATTTCTTACTTATAAACTCCTGATCATTCCCTAGATTAGCCAAAGTGTGACTCCCTCCCAAAAATCCAAAAATCCTCGACAGGGAACAGATTCAAGTGAAATCAAGATAAATTTGGGGGAAATACCTCCACAACCGCTCTCTCTCGTTCAGATCCTCCATGGATACAATATGCAACACCCCACTGGTATAGAGAAAGAGTGCTATAATCAGGAAGTTACAAAAATTTGCTATTATAGAAAATGAAATTTGTATCAGCCATGGAAATGCAAATGAATGAACAATGATAGTTGCTCAAAACTTACGCAAATGGATCCTTCTTTGGGTTCAAGCGTGAGAGTTCTAGCAGGGTTTTGTGGTGTACCTCTATGATCAAAACAAGCTGTGCAATGGGAAATTAAATATTAGAAAAACTTTAGTTTCCATTAACGAATTGGAATGTTGAGGAAGAAATTTACCGAGGTCGAATACACGCCTATAATCTCTAATAAAACCTATCACTCTCTCGTCGAAGTCAAATCCTGGATTCCACACAAGAGATCCATAGCCGAAAACCCAAAGAACCATGATTGAATCGATATCTGCAAGAACAATATCCCCTAAAATTAATCAACTAAGGCCAATGAATGCATATCCATCACTTCGTCCTCTGTTCTATTAATTTAGTCATCGCTCGAAGAAATCAAAAAATTCATTCGTATGTAAACATAAACTCCTCAATTTCTCGAATTCCTTTCTCGCCAGAATAAAATCGTAAAGAAACGAGAGACAGCGGAATTGTCAAATCCACATCAAAAGCAGCAAAAGTAGATTCATGCGGAATAGTTAAATCCTTCGATTTGAAAAACGCAAACGTAGAAGAAAAAAATGGAACGGATTCTTACAAGAACACCGACAAATTTAAACAAGAGAATTCCTCTGATCCGCTTGAGAGAGCGCCGAAACGAAAATTACAGAAGCAAGAGAGAAACGAAAAGGCTAAACGAATTTTCGTTTAGCTGAAAAGAACAAAAATTAGGGCGTTTCTCTCTGCCCTGTTCGTTGATGTTGTTGTTCTTCTGCTCTGAATCTGGGCGGTTTGAGCTTGAAGAAGACGAGAAATTTATAGCTGATGTGTCCCGAAACGGAAACCAATGGCGCCATGGATGGCCGCTCACTTTCATGCATGTGCATGACCTTTTGTTATGCATCCAATATATTTTGAATTTTTATTTTCCTAAAAATAATAACATCCAAATATACATTGGTTTTTATCTTTAAAAAAATACTCACAATTTTTTTAATTTTTCATTATTACCTTTAAACTTTTTTAAAAAATCTTTAAAATATAATTAATGAAAATAAGTTAGTAATTTATTTTTTTTAAATACTCTTATTAAACTTTTAATAATATTTTTAAAATACTCTTAAAAAAATTTTAAAAAATTAATAAAGAAAATTGAGCACAGTTAACATTTATAAATAATTTTTTTAAAAAATGAGTATTAAGATTTGCCTCTTTTTTTTAAATTATTTTCTAAAATTTATTAATATTTTTTAAACATATATTAACAGTATTTTTTCGAAATTTTCCAAGTTATTTTTAAAATTTTTAAAAAGTTAAAAAATATTAATAAAATTTTTGAAAATGTAAATATTTTTTTTAAATACTTTTTTTAACTCTTTCAAAAGTTACAAATTTTTTTAAATAAAATATTAAGTTTAAAAATATTTTTTTAAGGTATTATTGACGTATTAAAAAATACGAGTATTTTTTTTAAGATAAATTGTAAAGTTGAATATTTATTTAATTAAATAGAAAAGTCTTCTCATTTTATCATAGCAAATAGTGCCATATACAACATCGTAAATATCAACAAAAAAAAAGTATAATTAATTAAATAAATAAATATTACTCATTTACAAACAACTCTTAAAATATATTTAAAATATTTAAAACATTATTTTTTTGAAATATATATTTAAATTTGAGTTTCAAAATTTAATTAAATATTTAAAAATAAATAAACACATACCGTTAGGTCTAAAAAAATGTCTCAATCCAATCCACGAACACCCGTAATATTTAAAAAAATTTATTCTTATTTTAACATGTAAAAGTGTAGATCTGAACTTCTAACATTTTAGCCTTATAGTCAATTGAACGACCATAATGAATATATGTCAATATATTTAGACCAATTTAATTATTAATTTGATATTAAAATTTTCATTAATGTATTCATAAAATAAGTAGTAATTATCAATCGAGACTCCTCCTACTCAAGTTATATATTGTAAGCGGTTGTTATTTGTTTCTTGCTTGTTATATAACGTCTCTTTCGAAAATCTATCTCTGCCCTTGTTTTCTAAAACTTCTCTTAAAACCGAGGCCAGAGGCTCAAGCATACGCGTAGGTGACGCAAAAACGAATTGGTTTAGCTCACTTGTCGTTGGAAAGTGAGTGCCCCACAATCGCAAGTCTGCTGCCATTAAAAGTGCGATTGTGACAAGTGGGATCAGAACAAAGTTATGAGAGCTTATACTCAAAAGGGTATCGATTCGTTGCATTTCTCATTTACTTATACAAGCAAAGTCATGAGAGGTTATACTGAAGGACAATATTATACTATTGTGGAGAGTAGTTGGAAACACAAACAAAAAAATAATTTTATTTTAATTAACAGTACAATCCATTTATTAAGACGAAATTAAAAACGCAATAAATTTATTAAAAAATATTTAATTGCGTTTATTTGTTTAAGATAAAACGACGACCTTACTCATAATCCACATGACTAGAGAGAATTCGAAAGCGAAGAGCGTATGAAGTAATCCGCGATCTAATGCGAATCCGAACAGAGTAATTCCGCCATTGTTGTGCTGCAAATACGATACTGCGCCAAAATCACGCCGTTAATTATTACGAACGCTTTGAATTGCGACAAAATTGATGCAAATTTTACTGACCTAAAGCTTGTCTAGTTTGGAAGGAAGAAGGCTCCTGTGTGCTTAATGAAATTAGAACCTCCGACGATGAGTCGGAATCGGTGTCGTCTCCGTCGTTGTCGACGGTCGGCGGCGACGGCGCCGGAGGTTTTGTGTGGTTGAATCCGGCCGCGGCGGAGGTAACGAGCATGTGCCATCTGGTTGCAACCGACGCGATTGCTTGAGCTCTGTGAGTAATTCTTGCCGCTCCGACTACGCACAGGAAGAATCCGCAGAGTTGAACCGTCGAGCAAACCTGGAAATCCCAATTTCATTATAAAATTTAATTAAAAAAAAAATCAATAATACCTTTAAATTAAAAAATAATAATAATAAAAATTTAAAAGTTTGAAGATATTTTTATATAAATAATACTAATAATAATATTTCTGGAATAAAATATCATATAGTTACGTGTCGTATTTAAATTTAGGAGTTATCGATGAAGTTTAATAAAGAAAAGAAAATCTCTAAATTCACGATTTGGAAGTTCATCGATATAAAAATTTGAACGTACCACAATATCACCCGAGTTGAAGAAGTTCTTATCAGTTTTAGAGGTCAAAGCCAATAGCAACGCGACGAACTGACTAACGGTGATGATGAACAAGCACACAATTATGAAGAATCGGTACCGATGACTTGTAACCCACAATTGTTTTCTAATCCTCAAATGTTCGTTGAAGATTACTATGGCGTCTGATCCTGACCCATTACTTGTTTCAAATAACTTGTTCACTCCTTGTAGCCTTAGAATTTGCAACTCGCATGTGAGCCGAAATAATACGCACACGAGCAAGAACACCCCAGTTCGGTATACCCATGATGCTAACACGAACATGAATAGTATCGAGTTTATGGGAAACCCACCTCTATTCATGATCATTGGCGATAAGAATAAGAAAAAAAATTAATAAATGTAAGTTCAATAAATATATTTTACGAAATTTAGGACATGTTTTGATTAGCTATTTAGAAACAGAGTTCGAGAGCAAAGTCACGGTACTTAGAAAATGACCAAAATACCCCTATACTTAGTTGGCAACTATCTCCATCGACATTTCTTTCAACTACAGTCGACTATCTCTTCAATATGGTTGGTTGAGATGGTCGTTGGAGATCGACGCCAACCGTAGTTGCCAAGGATGAATGAACGGAAACATAAATTTAAACTTATTAGTTCATCATTTTCGAGAATTGTCGTTTAATTTGACATTGATATAAACATTTTAACCTTTTGGAGGAAAAAAGGTCTTAAAAGTAATTAAGCAATAAATTAAACTTACGGAAACGAGATCTTAACAGTTGAGAAGAATATGATCTTGTGGGCCAACTCAACGAAGAACGACGGGAAAAGAATGTACGCGAGGTAACGGAACGCCTTGTCGAGTTCACGCGCATAGCCTCGCTGAACGTAGAGCGAATCTTCTTGCAATCCATCGAGGAACAGAAGTTGCCGGAGGCCGTAGCGGCGGAAGAATCGGCACAGAGAGAAGAATCCGATGGCGGCCAGGCCGGATTCCGGAACCTGAACGAGTTTGTTAAGCGAGATCGGATCATCGGCTGGATCTCGGACGGAGACGATCGTCACGATGGGAACAACAACGGTGAGGATAACGAAGGCGAAGTAGGAGACGAACTTTCCAGCGGCGGAGGAGTGGTCGAGAGCGTACCATTTGAGGCTGATTCGGAAGTTGCGAAGCTCGTCGGAGGTTAGGGATTTTGATCGGCAATATGAATGTTGGAGAAGAAGAGGGAGGTTTGCGTCGCCGGAATCCATGGCGGAAATGGAGGAGAGATTTGAGAATGGAAAGTGAATTAATAAGGAGAGGACGGCGTCGGGATATCTGTGAGGAAATGGAGGGAAGCTTTTAGGTAGTGAGGACTGAAGAGAAAGGAAGGTGCAGAGTTCTGCCTTGTGGGAAAGGTTACCGCCAACCGGCTTCCCTGGTTGCTTCAATCGCCACTTGGCGTATTACTTTTCTATTTCTTTATTTTTTTTAATTTTCAAATATTTAATTTTAATTTTTACGTCTCTAAATTTTAAAAAACGTAATTAAATTTTGTATTAATATTTGGTTTCTAATTTATTTTAAATTTAGAATTTACAATTCTATTACCCATAAAACTAATTTTATATTTAATAAATTAATTAACTTCTCAAAATTTCAAATATATTAATTATAATTATAATTAATAGTTTTTAAATATTACAATTATTTTAAAGTATTCCAATTTAAAATATTTTTCTAAAAGTATTTATCAAATTACAATTATTAATTTTAAATTTTAAAATTCTCATCATTATAATTTCTTTTTAATTATATAGGCGAAATTTATAATTTTAATTTTAGAAGGCTGCTAGTGCCACGTGGATATTATAAAGTTTGATGTCTTGGTGAAGGGTACTCCCAGTAGCCAGCGACTTCACGGGCAGATAGCAGCAGGAAAACACCTTGTATTTTGCCACGTGGATTTTTTCTTGGCCACAAATCCCCACTTTTTATAACACTCTCACGAGATTTTTTTTTTTTTTTTTAATGTATAAAAATCAAATTTTAAAACACGGCCACAATGGACCCAATTTATGTTTGAATTTAATTGATAAAATATCGAGAATTTGATCGTATGTTCTTGCAACTAAATAAAAATGGTTGAATGGCTTATTCGAATCGTGCAATAAGTGTTGAGTTATACCTGACACGTTTCAATGCTCGTATTGTGTTCTTCGTTAATAGGAAACATGTGACTTGCCCTAATGAATACCCATACGGGTTAGGTGTACGCTTCATGTCGGGTATCAAGTGGCCATAAGAGGAAATTGGTTCGATCATCCCATAACTTAAAAAACACTTGCGTACTTCACGAAACTTTTACTTTTTTTAGTACGACAAAATGAATGGTCGAGTTTGTAGTAGTTTGATCTCGGCCCGTAGAAAATGATCCAGTTTGTTCTAAGCTACTCAGTCTTTTAGGCCATCCGATCTCCGTCATTCCACTTTAGCTCATGTCCAACCAACTCGCTTCTATAGTTTATGGGCAAATCCCATTCCCCTAGTATGGATGAACGGGTGTGCAACTTTGTGAGAAAAATCTCTCTCCCACTGATTCATCGTGACTCCGACATTCCAACCAAATAAAAAAATAATAATTAAAAATAAATTAATTCCACCTAAAAATACCTTTTAATATAAA